CTGAGAGAAAACTCGCTTGCTCCTGCATTCATCTGAAGTGAAGGGGTACCTTAAAAAAGGTGAGTTTGCTGTTATAGTCGTTTGACTTCAGGCATGGAAAACGTCAGGTGGTTAGTGAACGACAGTAGAATGGAGGTGGTAACGAAAAAAAGCACTTTCATAATAAATCTGGTCCCACATCATGTTGAAGCACATTTTGAACTAGCCACTCCTTTACGATAGTCTCACTAAATAGTTACTTTTTGCAGGACTACTGGAGGCTTAACAAGTGTCTAGTCAAAATTCAAGTTTACTTTGTTTTACATTGTCGAACAGTCACTTGCAGAACTAAACTGGGTTTAAACCCGCGTGCTTCGGTCCCCGAGCTTTACACCAGGTAGCGTTCTATTAATACCTACCCCAACTCTTTTGCACGTACAAACCAATAACCTAAACCCCAAAACCCTGTGAACGAAATCTAGACTTTCTTCTACCTACAAGCATCTCGCTACGCTCGGTTGGCTATCCCCTCCTCGGCGGCGTTGGTGGTGCCTGTGCACGGACTTCTCTCACATAAGTACGATCTCAAATGACTTGCGAACAAGCAAAAAGTAACTAGTTATATGTTCATTTTCCGTTTCCGAAACTGATTTTTGTCAAGTGGCTAGCACAATACGTCTGAAGTAACTAGTTGAGACATTATGGTAAAAAAAAGAGTGACTAGTTCAAAATTCAGAAGCGACTAGTTGAATTATATCCATTGTTTGCTCAGAATGCAAGGTATTATTTACCTGTGTTTGTTGCAGTCTTCGTATTGGAAAGCAATATGAGGAGTGATAGTTTGAGTGAGGTAACACCGTAATGACGCATGCCAAGCAAGCTTCTATCAGTCGTTCTTTTTCAGGTAAGGACTCGCTATTACTTTACTTCTTTTTGGCGGGATCTTGGGTCTTTTTGGTTTATACTGTTCTGTTTCATCAACTGGACTAGAGGTCGTTTTGCGGCTCTTGTAAAAATAACTCGCCATTCTGTCAAAATTATGTATTTAAATAATCATGGTAAGCTACTGCAAATTACAGCTTCACAGTACCAATCGCATAAAAGCTTCCAGACAATACTAATTTATATCATTGTTCGTATCACGAAATACTGAGTAATGTTTTTTTTCTAGACTGTTTTAATAAAAAACCTACTGTTAAGCATCCCATCTACTATTTATCATGTATTTTTCTTTTAAAAAAGGACAAATTCGGAAATAGTACATGTACCGTAATTTACTGTCTGTAAATTACGGTAGTGAAACGCTTGCTCAGCTATATGAAGTAATAGGCTGCATTCATCCGTACAGCCTATGAATTCTGTGTGTTATCGATGGTAAGTCTAACAGTGTTTCTGCATTTATTTCATTGCTTCCAGTACATAAGACTTTTTGACATGCTTTGATACACAGCTAAGCATGGCAGAATGTTCTAGCTACAGCAACTGAGCGAATACATATCTATGGGCAATGAATGTATAGATAAATGGAATTCGTCGTGCAACTTGCACGTCGAATATATTATGCTGTTTGGTAGTATATTCTGATTTTAATTTTAAGGGTCACTTACACTTACAAGTCGTAGCGATGGAAGTTCTTGATGCTCGTGTGGAGGAGGTCCTCGGATATACTGATGCTGGTGCGACAAAGTACGTGTATCTCCAAGCTCTTACTCGTTTTATCAAGTGGCTTTACGAGACATCAGATGAGGACCGCCGCCAGTCACTTTTCGCGACCTCGTTTTGTGACATCGAGACGATTAATGCAGACACAATTGCGGAGTGGTTTGCCAGGTCTCCTGTAGTGAGTCCAATAGACTTAAGCACGCTAACAACGCAAGAGTGCATGCGCTACCTCACTTCGATGGAACAACGTGGTGTGACTGGGAAGTCTATCTTTGGCATTGTGCGATCGGCTATTGTTTATCTTTACAACACAACAGGCAATTCTCTGCCCAGATGAAGCAATTTTTTAAGGGCCTTCACCATACTGTGACCCAAGTAGCCCAGGAACGAAATGCCCGATTGCGAGAGGGTAAAGAACCTTTCTCGTTCTCAATGTACAGATCTGTTGCGAAAACTATGCTGAATTCGACCAAAAAGCAGCATATCTTTGGTCATTCTTTTCTCATAATATGCTGGAATCTGATGTGTCGCGCAAAAAGTGCCGAGTCGATACGACATGCACATCTATCTTGGTGCGAAGATTCTATTACAATTACATTTGCTCATATGAAGAATGACCAGGACGGTAGTCGACCGCGAGATCCCAGGCTTGTGTATGCCAACCCCACCATACCTGAGATTTGCCCCGTGTTAGCACTTGGAATTTATTTTTCAGTTTTTGGATTTGATGGAGACGGCAAACTATTTCCCGGTGGCAATCAGTACAGCCGCTTCTTAAGTATTCTAAA